TGTGTGTGTGTGTGTGTGTGTGTGTGTGTGTGAGAGAGAGAGAGAGAGAGAGACAGACAGACAGACAGACAGACAGACAGACAGACAGACAGACAGAACAGCAGCTTTTGTCTTCAACTGCTAGGAATTCTGAGCTGGAAACTAAATTCAGCAAGACAGGATGGCCACCTTGTACATATGTGAGTATATCACATGATCATGACGTTCCCCACCTGTCTTCCCAGGAAAATGGATGGAATGAGCATTCTTGGAGTACAATTTGTCAGGGCCTTTTGCATATTTTAACTTTTCAACTTCACATAATCCCAGGATATATAACACTATTTTAATGCTAGGCAACCAAAGTCCAGAGTATGTCTTACCGATGTCCCCCAGAAAGTGAGAGCAGGCTGATCAAGCCATTCCTAAATCAGCATAAGATTGTCACTAAAGCAAAGTAAGTAAGTGAAGGTTTGAAATCCTCCAGAGAGTTTGCTTTGGACTTCCGCCTTACAGAAGGCAGCAGTCTGGTCTAAACAGTAGAGATCTGAGTGGTTTTATTCTAGAGTGATGCCTGTAACTACAGTTCAGGAGACACCCAGGGAATACAGAATTCTCCACAGTGATGGGGAACATAACAGAGATTGTCAACTCAAAGCCCACATTTCTCCTACACAAATCCACTTTTGTATGACATACCTCTGAGTGAGCACAGCCAAGGACTCAAACACAAACTTAGGAGAGCAGTAACAAGAACACAGTAGATGACTTTGTCTCCTGAGTCTAAGTTCTGTGAAGTAGAACAAGGAGGAGAGACAATTGTGTCATTTAGGCAAAACTTCTTTTGAATGATTTTATTTTATTTTTCTAACTTATGTGCATGTGGGTGTCTGTGTGTGACTATATGCACATGTATATGGATATTTACAGAGGCCAGAAAGAGGCATCAGATTCCCTGAACCCAGAGTAACAGGTGGTTGCGAGCTGCACCACTTGGATGATTGGAATCAACTCCAGTCCTCTGCAAGAGCAACAAGGGCTCTTCATCATCGAGCCATTTCTTCTGCTCCAAGACTTTTAATAAATTACAATTTTGTGTGTATATGATGCATTTGAAGACTGGGCCAGAATAAACAAATGAAGACCACACAGTCCATTTGACCAGTGGCTTAACCACATGGCTGGGAGAGACTGAGAGCAGCGGTTAAGGATCATCATGTTATTCTTCCTTATCCCTTTGCAAGCACACACAGGAATCTTTTCATATCCTTTAATAAAATGTGCCTTTTATCTATGGCAGCATTTGTGACTTGCCATTATGAAACCTTTCACAGCCTCCTTTTAGAGAGATGACTGTTAACTGGTGCTCCACAACTCTATAGACTGTTTCACTTCCAAGAAGACACTGGCAACATCTAAAGACATTTTTGTCCGGAGAACTTGGGTGAAAGTGTAAAAGGCTGTTACTGATTTCTAGAGAGCAGGGCTTAGAACGTGTCCTTTAACACAAGTTACGGCTGCTTCAAATTCCTTAGATGTTAGCCTTGCCGTGGCAGAGACACACTTACACACAGACACACATGAGAGAGGGGGTGGGAAACCAAGAGGGAGAGGGAAGGGGGACTATACAACTAACTGATAAACATGCCACAATTCATTTCTGTAAAGCACATGTCAGATAACCTATGCCATATGCAAATGATTCTTTAAGAATGATTAATCTACAAATGCCATGCAGTGCGCAGACCTAGTTCAACGACACTCTGAGCTAAAACACAGGACTGAACACCTAGGCTGTCTCAGGATTGAACATTCTCACGTTAACACCCTTCCTTCTTCCTTCCTTCATTCCTTCCTTTCTATCTGTCCATCTGTCTGTCTTTTTTTTTTTTTTTTGCTTTCTTTCCTCTTCCTCTTTCTCCTTCTCCTCCTGAGACATGCTCTCTCTGTTATACATCTCTGGTTGTCCTGGAAGGTGATCTGTAGACCAGGCTATCATTGAGCTCACAGAGACCCACCTGCTCCTGCCTCTGGAGTGCTGGAATAAAAGGCATGCACTGCCACACTTTGAAAACTTTCCTTATATGTTATAGATGAGCTTATCACCTTATAATGTGTTGAACTGAAATATAATACTATGGTCATGTCTCTACACCAGTGAATTTTGTCATGCTTCAGTTTGGCAAACTACATCACAAGGTCCAGTCACCAAGGATGGACTTCTCAATGGACATGCTTGTTCTGTAGTGCTGTCTTATGAGTTTGTAGGCACATTTGTAGGCACATCCAAGGAGGCTTTTCTATGTTGTGAAAAACAGATAGTTACTTTGTTTGCATTTTTGTATTAGGAAACATTTACTAAGGAAAAAAACATCTAGAAAAGTGAAAGTGAAACCCATGGTTATGTACATTTGCTGATAAAAATAAATAAATGAAATGAGAGAACTTGTCTCAAATATGAGGTGCAGAGTGACTGGAAAAGATACCTGACTTTTGAAAGACCCCCACCAAAGGCCCAGACACAGTTCCCCTAAAAACCCAGAAGAGCTGAGGGAAGAGATATCTTAAAATAAACAGAACTGAGTCAGTTTTCCCTTCATGGAGAGGGTGAAGTCAGGTGTTTTCAAAAGAACAAAGTCAGGATGTCTGGTGGTGACCGATTAACCATGAGATGCTCCTCTCTGGAGATAACATGACCAGACCCCGGAGATGGGTTGTAAAACTCCTGACAGGGCAAACAGATAAGCTGAAATAAGACAAAGTCCAGGCCTGGGAAAAATTGGACCAGTGAAGGATGGACTTGTACTAACCCCCTCCCCTCTAAGAAATTTTGTGGGTTTTGCCTATAAAAACTAACTTCCCCAGGAAAGAGTAACTCCTCCCTGACAGTGAGTGCTTGTGATGAGTTCCCTGTCACGACTTGTAACAGAAATAAACCTTGCTTTTGCATTCTGGTACACTTGTACTTGGTGGTCTCTCTGGGGGTCACGATCTGGGCACAACAAATTTGACCTCCAGCCTCCACTCATGTGAACACCTGTTCACACAAATCTGCAGATATACTGCATTGTTAGTATACACAAGTCCCTCTCCACACACAGAGGGTCATAAATACCAATGTCACTAAATCTTTTATTATAAATATATATAACCACCTTCTTTATCTTAGGAAAATGAATTTTTTAGTTATATGCTTGCTCCTACTCCAAGAATTTCTCTGTCAACTGTCTCCAACAATGGACATTGAAACTCCTGCTTCACAAAATCAAGTAAAATGTTCTACTCTTCAGCTACAGCACTAACTCTTAGCTATATTTTGGTTCTCATTTTCCATTGCTTTCTTCCAGACTGTCCTGTCTCATTGATTAACCAATATTTCCCTAAATTACTTATGATACACTACACAAACTCTTTCCAATAAGCAAAGCTAGAAGCAACTGAGAACATTCCGAAGCTTACATTGTAGAAATCTCAGAGTAAAGGATATTGCTGTCTATTGCACCTGCCTCTAGACAGCTCAGGGCTTGGAGGGAATCCAAGGCACTGGCAAAGACCTTTTCTCTCTGAGGGGATTAGGAAAGAGACACTCACATTCTTTTGATCATTTCCTTGTTTATTCATCCATCTCTTCTGGTGTACTGACTGGGCTGGACCCGGCTGGTTTGGATTTGGCTGGCTTTGGGTGGCTGAACAGCTATACAAAAGTGTATTTATAGATTGTTATATAAAGTATTTCCTCATTCCAGGGTCCCTAACCTTAATTTATGTGTCTTGCTGAAGGGTAGCATTGCATGCCTCCATGACTCTATCTAGTCCTTTATTATGTATCGTGTGCAATACACAATGAAACAAGACCCAGGTGTGTCTGAAGTGTCTTGTGACCAAGCTCATGAGATGGTCGCAAGGCCCCCTCAGTAAAACAACCATTGTTTTACACAAGGATACTTTAAGGTCAGGGTACTTCTGAAAAACATCTGTTCATTCCAATCTCTAGCCTGTGCAGTGATTTTGTTAAATTCCTACAGAGTACAGGTAGCATGTTATTCTTCTCCCTTACATGCTTAAAAATGAAGTCATCCCACTATCCCATATATATTTATATCTAAGTAACTTATTAGAGATCAACAGAGCATGAGTAGACAGAAAGCATCTTTTTACAGCCAACTCCCTTGCTGGTAGGCCACATGCCAAGGCTACCAAGAAAGAATTCTACTGTTTATTTTGAAAGTTATTCTTACAAGGAATTATAAAGGAATCATAAACTTAAACTTTTGTACATAAAAGACAATCAGTCGGCTGTAATTTAGATCTTCATAATGTATAATCATTTATCAATTGTTTCTTACAGCAAGAGATTGAGGGCAGGAATGGGCAGGAGTTAATCACCTTTGACCAACAACCAATCTTAATAATTGGGCTGCTTTGTATTTTTAACCTCATCTATGTATCCTACATACATTAGATTGTTTTCTGTGGTTATTTCATTTTAAAGTTATTGTCAAAACACTTTATCAAATCTGAAGTTGTTACGAGGTTTATTTCAACCAAATGATGCACACCAAAAACTGCATCTTTTTAGCATTAAGAGAATTAAGACCAGCCTACCTCCCAGGGAATTCAATTGTTCTCCGAATTATGAACCTGAGCTGTGATCTAAAGCAGCTCCTAAGGTGAAAGTCATAGGTCTTTAGTGGAACATATCGTTGTATATACATTTATTCATCAAAGCTCTGTATAAGCTAACATTATTATCAATTAGACTGTACAGCTTAGGGAGAAAGTCATCTTCATAATAATTTGCAGGCAAAACTGTCCAGTAAAACAGGAAGTTTCCATGAGATAAATACATTACCTTACAGGCAGTGGAGAATTTTCCCACACCCAATTCTGCTATGCCAGATATTAGGAAAAGATAGTAACAGCAACCATACAAAGAACAGCAGGAGCAGAAGACATTCTGTGGTCTGTGGTCTCAGGGGTTTTGCCTACCCGAGAACTATACACCAGAAGGTTGCCTCCTGGTGGGCTGACACCCTGAACCTCAATTCTCACCTGTTGTCCTCCAACATGGCTACTGGCATCAGGACTTCTGTTATGAAGTAGATCTTTGTTGAATGGGCCAGCATGGCAGCAAGTAGCCACATTATGCACAGAGACATTGAAGTGTGACTGAGACAGGATCTCACTAGGCATCTTTGGCTGATCTGGAACACACTATGTCAACCATGCTAATCTATAACTTACAGAGATCCTCCTGCCCCTGCCCCCTGGGAACTGGGATTAGAGGAGTACCACCACCCTTGGCTAGAAAATTAATTTTAAAATTCAATTTTTAATTGAAATTTTCAATTATTTTAATGAAATTATTTATCTACCAACTATTGTTTTAAATAATTCGGTTTACAAAACTGATGAGGAGGACTATTAACATGGCTCGACTCCTCAGAAGAACTGGATGCTGTGCAAACAGGAAGACCTCAGCTCAAGCCCCAGACCTTAAGAAGCAAAAGTAAAAGTTGTCCTCTGACTTCCATATGTCCCGTACCCTCCCTATGCACACATATCATACCTACACACTCCCATAGGAGAAGGAAAATAAAGAAAAAGATATTGAGTTTCAAAGAAGCAGATAAGACCTATTTAAATAAGAATAAAACAGAAATACTAAGCCAAAGAACTTTTTGATAAATCAATATCTAAGAAATGTAATCTTCCTTTGACATTTAGGTTACTTGAATGTATTGAAGTAGAAATGTCATATTATCTTTCTTTTTAACAATGTGACTCTTTTGAGTTGTGATGAATCTAACACTTTAGAAAATTTCGGGTAGGGCTAGGACATTTCTCTAATTGCTTTACATTTGAATTGACACCAACATTTGTAAGGTGCAAAGAGAAACTATTTTATGGGAGGACATGGTACATTGACAGAGAGACAGACATGAAACTGCTAAACAGAGCTGGCAGCCATGTACAGCTGACTGGCATCAAGACGGAGCTTGAACTCAGATCACAACAACAACAAAAATCTATGTTTATTCACATCCTTATTGTTTTGACACTGGTTTTAAGTTCAATTATATTGAAAATTCAAGCACCAAACCACAACAGAGAGTTTTAGAGGATAGAGTACACATTCCTCAGGAAAGTGCAGAGAAAAGAAGCCAACACATAGAAGTGAGGCATCTTTGTGACTCCTTGTGACCAGTCCGTAATCACATGTCCTACATAACTGACAAACATCCAGAAAGACAACATTGTGGATAAGTTGTTAATTATGTTCAATGTAATGAGTTTCAGAAGAAATGATCCTACATTGCTGTATACCTTGTACTAAGGTAACTCTTCATTGTTGAAGGATACGAATTGACAGTTGAGTTAGACTTGCATAAAGAATGCTGACATTTTCTGTGTTCAACATGGAGAATTATGTGTTCTTGTCACAGTCGCAGACAAGGGGAGAAGACAGTGTTGGCAAGATGGAGGGAAGAGCAGGAGAAAGTTTAGAAGAGAGAGGTCCAGTGTTCAGCACTTCAAGGTTCTTCAGTTCTCAGAATAGCACAGAAAGTAGTAGTTTTCTATATTTTCTTTTACTCACCAAAGTACATAGGATAATAGACTAAGTAGGGAATATTAGAGAATCCCTGCTATCAATGGCAGAAAGATAATAACATCTCTGTCCCACTTGGAAGCCTCAGAGAAGAGACTCCCAGGGTACTGACTGTGTGGTGGTCACAGGGTTTGGAGTGAAGTTGTATCCAGAATGGATGATGAAGCCATCTTTCATTATGAGACCTGGCTGTGGTGTGATATTATCTGAGGCAATGTTGTCTCCAAGGCAACGTACTTGTCCAGGTCCATGTAGTCATAATTTACAGCTGTGGTATTATTTCATATGTTGAGAATGGGCTCTCATGTAGTTCAGGCTGGCCTCAAACTCAGTATGTAGGCTTCGGATTCTATTGTCTCAGTCGACTCAGTGCTGCAGTTTAGGTATGCACAGCCCTGCCTTGTTTACAGACTTTGGGCATGCCAGGCAAGTACTTAACCAAACAAGCCACATGCCCAGCCCCTTGGAAAACCCTTTAAAGTGTATATACAGTAGAGGTGGTGTGGGTCCTGTTTCTTAGTATTATTCTTGGTATTGACACTGAGCCTCTTAAAGATGTTGATGGCAAGCTGGGCGGTGTGGCGCACGTCTTTAATCCCAGCACTCTCGAGGCAGAGCCAGGCATATTTCTGTGAGTTCGAGGCCAGCCTGGTCCACAGAGCAAGATTCAGGACAGGAACCAAAACTACACAGAGAAACCCTGTCTCAAAATAAGATAAAGAAAAAAGAAAAAAGAAAAATGATGATGGCAAAACTGAGCCTAGAAGCTTTTGACTTTAAGTGTTTTTTGTTTTTTCTTTTTTTAAGTCAAGATTTACAGTTAAGAAAAGAGACAGCCGGGCAGTGGTGGCGCACGCCTTTAATCCCAACACTCGGGAGGCAGAGCCAGGCGGATCTCTGTGAGTTCGATGCCAGCCTGGGCTACCAAGTGAGTTCCAGGAAAGGCGCAAAGCTACACAGAGAAACCCTGTCTCGAAAAACCAAAAAAAAAAAAAAAAAAAAAAAAAAGAAAGAAAGAAAGAAAGAAAAGAAAAGAGACATTGACATTTTGATATTGGTTTAATTTGCCCGATGACTATGTCCAAAGCAGCAAAGTGTGGCTCAGGGCAGGAGTGACACAATCAAAGCATAACTTAGGTGTGGCTGCACCTGAACGCCCTCTACAATCCCAGGTGGGGCCAGATGGGTGATGAGAGAGGATCTGCCGCAGTGTGGTTTAACAATCTGATCAGGGGTAGATGCCTCTCATTCGTGACATGCCACACAATTTATTAATAAAAATATCCATGCCTGGAGACCAGTGTTAGCCTGTGGGCGGTCCACAAATTTAGCTGAATGGCTTTATTACAGTTACTGGTGTCCCAGGTAAGTCCAGTAGTTGCAAGGGCTAGCCAAATTCTCTGGAATGTGAAGGTCTGCATTTGCAATGTGGAAACAATGGCTGACTTGGAAAGTTTGAGCTGTGGACTGCAAAGCATTGGGAGCATCCAGAGCAGTAGTAACAGAGTCAGCAGCCAGCAGCCTAGTGTGTGGCTGCATTTGACAGGACCCTACTGTTCAGTGTTGATTATCCCACACTGTGATCACCAAGCATTGGGTTATCTCATTCCGTCGTTATGGGACACAGTGTCAATTTCCTTGTTATCTCAGAATGGTACTTCTATTTTGTTTATTAAATGGATCTTTCTGTTTCATTTCTTGATTGCCCACAATGTGATGAACTTAAAAATTAACTTTAATTTACTAAAAAGGACCTAGAAGGCAACCCTGGATCAGCCACACATTTTATAACCTAAATATTGAAGAAGGTATTTTGATTAGAGGATGGTTCATCTCAAATGGCTTCTATATCAGGTTATCAAGCTCCTGAACCATGGGGAAACCCTTACTTAATGGGTCCAAAGGAGTCCTTGCCTTACTTCTGGTATAATAACTTATGGAGTGGAGATAGGACTAAATATCCTCAGGAGGGTGTATTATTAACGGACCAAATATGTAATGAATCTTTATGATCACAGGTGTGAGGTACCCCACCCCCCCATCCCAGCACACATACTTTAAATGAAGGAAATGGAATAGGAGGGCATTTTGATGTTCCTGTGAGACATGCAGCCAAATAGCCTTGAATTAATAGATTTAAAATTCTTGGGCAAGACAGAGAATCACTGAGGAATCTAATGGTTATTTTGTAATTTACATGAGAGTTCTTGGAGGAGTTCGTTAAATCTCTCAAGTAAACCAGTTATCTGTACTCTACTAGGCAAATGAAGCTTCCATTAGATGTGTCTTCAAAAAGTCCAGTGCTGGAATTCTGAGTACTGAAGCATGTTTTGAGAGATAATGTCTGGAACTTAAATAATTCAGATAAAGGTTGTCCTGGTACAACCATGTACTGTGGTTTTAGCATGCTGAGACACAGGTGACTTTGCTTTATTATATATTCGGTATATCTGTTAAGTGGGAGGTTCACAAGGTTTATTACTCAAGGGTAACCTCTTAGATAAAGACATGAAAATTTATAAATTGTGCAGATGAGCAATACATTGAGTAGGCCACACAGGGACAAGATGACCACTAGAAGTTTGGCCAATAGTACTGCCTTCAAGTCCTGTCCTTTATCATGGACATGATAAAGGATTGGAAAATAGCAACATTCCACTGAGTTATATCACCTATGGGAAGGCGGGCCATTGGACAATCTGTAACTCTCATTGCTGCTTATTTAGTTAATACCATGGTACTCACATACCCAAGGGGTCCTTCCTACATGTGGCTGCAGACAAGAGAGTCTGAGGATAGAGTCAGCCACATCTTTCTCCAGGTAGATAATGACACAGGCCCAGGTTTAGCTCTGTCCTGTATTAAGATGGGCTCAGTAGCCTTCCTGATTTTGGGGGGTGCTAGTTTATGATCCAAGGAAGAGTGGGAAACTTGACATGGAAGCGAAGAGATTGTGACTCCCTCTGTCGCTTGCTAGGAGGACCTGGTAGATGGCCAGCACCATTTGCTTATTGATGTGAAGCACAGCACAGAGAGCAGCAGTCCTGCTTTTGTCAGCAGCCCTGGGGCACCCATGGCAGTCAAGATCCTGTCATTTTCTCCTACCAAATATCCTTGTGCTGAGAAATGTGATTATAAAATAACTGATCTCATTGGATTTAGTTTTTTAGACAAAATGACCTGGCATTTATCTGTGGATATGTGCTATGGTTGCTGACATCAGAACAGATCAGTGCCCATTTTCAGACAGGGATAATCTTTATTCTTGCTTTTTGGAGAAGGGATAGGTCCATTTAGATGATGTGTAGTAGGAGATGGTTTTCCTTTGACTTTGTTTCCTCTTTCTCATGATCAGATATGATGCACAGGTTGAGAAGACTATTTCATGGCAGATTATCTCTACAGCTGTCATGTGTACATGTGAAAGGGTGTTTTACCAAAGAAGGGGGGTATGGCTCTTGATGTTATACATCTGCATGGAGGTTCTGCCACAATCTTCTCTGGATATGGGCATATGTCCAATTTTGAGACATGAGTTCAGATGTGTTATTGAAATAACTTTGCACTAGTGTATCTCCAGGCATATTTCATATTATTTTCTCCCACTTATTTTGAAGCTCCTTCTTCAATTTTGCCATAAAAGAGCATCCCTATACATACATTGCCTTTGTGATCTGCCCACTCTGAACTGTCTCTGGGTGAAGTGAATGCCATGGTTCTGGCACTGATGGATATCCAGATGCTGGTGTTTTTAAATGACTTGTTACGGCCCTCTTCATTGCATACATTTCATTTTTTACTGATTTTATGTTTTCATGTAAAAACATTCCTTCCAATTAGACTTCCTGGTGAATTTTTGATCAGAGATTTTAACTGCATAAATGAAAGGCTTTCTCACCAGTGTGGATCAGTGAAATGATTCAGAGGATGATCCCTGAAGGTCTTGCCTCATGCAGCATAGTTAAGTGCAGGTAGGTGATCCTTTCTAATCTTATGTGTGTGAGAGGTGGGGTCATCGAGGCACAGCCAAGATTGTGCCCATCTAGGTGCAAGGTATTTTCAACTCTCAAGACATCCAGGATTTCAGGACCTTTGCATAGGCTTTAGAAGCCTGGTCAATAAAAGCACATTGACATGAGAAGCCACCCAAGAGGAGCAGGTGAAGTCAGCTAATGCTGTGACTTGCTCTGGTTCTTCCAGACTAGTGCCTGTATAAACCAGGTGTGTGTCCCTTCAGAGGCAGGTGACTTTAATTTACAGATTTAATTTTGAGATGCTTTACTGAAGGTAGACTAATTTTTTTTTAATTGCTGGCAGGTAGCACAGAACCAAACAGGTTGACTTCCTATGGTAGCCACCCATCAGCCACCTAAGGCCAATACATGTTAAAGATAATTAAAAGACCAACCAAGGACAACTGAAAACATATTTGTATGTAGTATAATTAATAATTTGATAAAATGTGCCAGATAAATGAAAATTTCTTTACCCTAGTAATATCACTTTGAAGTATTTATTTACAGATTACATTTATAAATGCACATTTGACTACTAAAAGTAGCAATAAAGAATTATTTAAATTATGGACAATTCCTCCATCAATTCTTATCAATTAAAAAATACTACTGGACTAAAAACCTTAAAATATACGAACATGAACACTTATTATTTTAGAATTTGAATTTAAAATTCAGAATCTTATATAGAGAGAGCTTTGCTATGTTCCCAACCACTACAACTGAGCCCAAAACACAGCTAATATTGAACCACAGCTAACATACACTGAAGAAGTAAAAAGGTATTGGAATAGAATATTGTGTTCAAAAACTGAAATTTGTGTAAAAGATGTAATAAGATAAACACCATTAGGTAAGTGAGGTGAGTCTGTATACATCAGAATCGTCATTAATAATTATGATGGTGAATGAAAGTTTGGATGGAGGTGGGAGAGATCTATTAGATGGCTTCTGTAGTAAGCAAGGTAATTTAAACTCAGCAAATGTGTTTGGAGGCATGTGAGTTCATGACCTATGAAAATTTATATAATGATACAAATCATAATTCTGGTAAGTTCTATTGATGAAAATAACATGATGTATCTAAATGTAAAAACACATTGCAGTTTAGATAAAAATAAAGCACACATATTCTTTTATTACTTTTGTGAAGGATATAAAAAACTTCATTCAATGACCTGTTCTTTGATGGACCTAAAAAGACTCCGTACACTGACAATTTGGAGTTCATTTTGCTGCCTTAGGATCCTCAATAAGACCTAGATTCCTCTATCCAATGATCAGTTTCACTGTATAATTTCAAATGATGATGTCAAACTGCATGATCCTAATAAACCACTGGGGTTCAGCTTCTGTCACAGTTTGCACTCAGGACCTTATGCAAACAATTTTCCAGGGTGAGGAGGCAGGACTAGTCATCATGAATGTCCTATGGTTATCAGATTCACATTAAAAAACCTCTTGAGAAAACTTCAAAATAGGTCACAATTATCCAGCCTCTCATTCTCTGTACCAAAATATCTTTTACATTGATTTTTAAAGCTTCATTTTTTAAAAAATTAATTGAAGTACAATTACATCACTTTCCTCCTCCCTTTATATGTTCCCTTTCAAGCTGATAGCCTCTTTTTTATTATTGTTGTTGCATACACACACGTATGTACATGCACAAACATATATGAATACAACCCACTGAGTCCTTTTGTTAGTTGTATGCACACAGTTTCAAGGCTGTGCTGGCTAGTTTCATGTCAATTTGATGAAAGCTAGGGTTATCTGAAAGGAGGGAACCTCAGTTGAGAAAATGCCTCCATAAGATCCGGTTGGAAGTAATTTCTTAATTAGTGATTAATGTGGGAGGACCCAGCCCATTGTGTCTGGTACCATCCTTGGATTGGCAGTCATGGGTTTCATAACAAAGCAGGCTGAGTAAACCATGATGAGCAAGCCAGTAAGGATCACTTCTCTATGGCCTATGCAGCAGCTCCTGCCTTCAGGTTGCACCCATGTATGAGTTCCTGTCCTGACTTCCTTCACTGATGAACAGTGATATGGAAGTATAGGTCAAATAAACCCTTCCCTCTCCAACTTGCTTTTGGTCATGGTTTTTCATCATTGTACATCAACCACAACTAAGATAAAATCTGATCATTCTGCATGGGAAACTTAATGATGCGCTCATTTCCTGGCAATGCTAATTCTCCTTATTCTAGAAGTCTTTAGTTGCCTGTAGTTATTTACCTAGGGGTGGGACCTTGCAAAACTTTCCCCTTCCACATTAGCATGTCCATGGACATTGTCTTGGTTCTAGTCTTGTTTGTCCAGCCATTTCTACAAGAGACTGCCTCACAGCAGATTTTCTACTGTTATGATTCTTACTGTCTTTCTGTCTCCTTTCCCTGGATGTTCCCTGAGAAGCATGAAGGACCTACCTGCACTGCAGATATATCCACTGGGGCTAGACTCCACAAGACCGGGTTATCTCTGCATTGTGTCTGCCTTTGCTCTTGTCTCCAGCTTTGTTTTCTGTGATGGTCTCTATTTGCTGTAAAGAGAGGCCTCTTTATTGAAGGTAGTAGACACACACACACACACACACACACACACACACACACACACACATATACACACACACACATATATATATATGTATGTATATATAGATATAGATATAAATGTACATATATATCTATATCTCCTTTGGGTATAAGAATACAATTTAAAATATAGTTAGAAATCATGCTGTTCTAGCACAGTGGTAGTAGTAAACTCCTTTCTAAGGTTTATGCCTTCACTGGCCCCAGGAAGCTAAGTATCCAGTACCATGCATTATTTCCCTCCTATTGAGTGGGTTATAAGTACAATTAGACAGGTGTTAGTTCTCAATGCCATGTGACTGCCACTTTTTGAACCTTTATATATATTGTCCATGTTGGTAATTATTGTGATTCATAGGTAAAGCAGCTGGGTAGTGTAGCTAGAGTTTTCCTGCCTTGCCCACAGTCAGGACAAATCTCTGTC